TTTATGACTATTTTTGAAGAACCAAATTTTTGGTTGCTGTTGAAAGACATTTAGAAGATCATTTATATAAGAGGAGAAACTTAAACTGGGGACATTGAATCTGGAGTTAAAACCTGGCTCTGTGTTCTCAGGCAGTGTAGTTTTTTGGTTAATTATGAGTTGGAAATGCCTACTGCTCAATTAGCAGGAATGAAGACACATGAACGGTTTATGTCAAGGACAGGAGGCTGCAGAGGAAATCTGCAGGCCATCAAACCTGAATAAGAGAAAAGGCTTCCTATTCCAGTTCCTCCTGCGGGACCTCTTCAGGTCACTTTTATATTTACTCCAGAAGGACAAAGGATGCATCGGTACTTAGAGAATAAATATCGTATGTGGACTTCCATCAGGAAACGCAAGTAACAGAAAGCTGATGGTCACAGCTATTCTTCACCAGTGTGATGACTGCCAATCCCCCTCCGCCCTTTTGATTCCCTTATTTTTTTTTTTCCAACCCTGTTCATTATCAATGCCATCAGGCGGGGCTCCCAATGTGGATCACTCTCAGAAGACTTGGCAGCCCCTGTGCCCCTAGATGCTTCCATTTCCTCTTTATGAGCACTTCTACATTTTCAACGAAGAAAGGGAGCCAGGAAGCAATGTGAGAACTAAACATAAGACTTGGTTACAACAAAAATGAGAGCATTCAAAGGCTTGATTGCCTGTTCCTTTGGCAATAGAGCTGCTCTAGAAAGGTCCTTGAGCCCTACTTCAGTGAAAATTAAAATAAATCACAGGCATTCTTCAAAGAAAAGGGATAAAATTATACATTTACCTACAGGGTATTGATACAGGCATAGATTTAGATAGATGTGTTATATAGTTCATGCACCCATACTAAACACGCATATGAATAATCCCTATACAGATGGCCAAACGCTAACAGAGGAGCTTTATTCAGGACTCTGCAATTATGATAACTAGATATTCAACCAAAAGCCAAAAGGATGGTGTTAAGGCACAGAAATGAGCATGGAGAAATGGAATAGGATAAATTCTACCTCTTGACATCTTTACTGAAACAGGGCTGGTAGTCTATTGGACACTTGCAACAAGAGGCTTAAAACATATCAAACGATAATGAAACATAATTTCTAGGTTAACACCAAGATGAGAGCCACCATCTGGCACTTCTGCCAGCCTCAAAGCTGGACAAAGACACATATTACGAGGCCACACATTTGGAGGGAGAGAGGCAGAAACTGAAGAGGCTCATGTGCAAAATGGAAAGTCAAAATGAATCCTCCAAACTTCAACAACAGTAACAGTTTAAAACAGTGTGTGAAAACCCACATATCCTAAGACAAAACCTGGACAAAATGACCTCCTGTCTATGACCATTACTTATCTGGAATAATTTCTTTTAAGTTTAGAAGCTTAGAAAAGCTCCAATATCTCTCTTTAACCATTCATATACAAGCTGCCCTCCAAATATTAACTGTTTTCCAATTAACAACCTAAAGTGGATGGAGTTGAAAACTCTCTGTGATCATTCATTCCATCAATTAATATTTATCAACTGCCAACTTTGGCCTTGGCACTGGGTAAGTAATGATGAACAAGACCAATATGAACTCTGGAGCTCACAGTCTGGCCTCTGTGTTCTAGATTGCGCCATCAGGATTTGGTTATAGTGAACTGACAGAACAGATGAAAAAAAATCCTATGAAGCTTACAGTCACATAGACCCATCTCCAAAGAACACAGCACAGCTCACTGCTGTATTCTAAGATCTAGGTTTAACTCCCTGATTTGGAATTTAGGGATCACCTTCCCATGGAAAGCAATGCCATCAATGATGTTTGGATTCTAGGGTTGATCCATAAATCTTGAGTTGCCCTGCATGCAGCTGCAGTGTGATTTTAAGAGATTTCTGGTTTGTGTTACCCTGGGAATCAGTTGAATCAATAGTATTAAACCATAATCTATAATCCCAACGCTGCTACCATGGATTGAAACAGTGGAGGCTGAAGTGCGCAATGCTGGGGATGCAAAAAGCTGGAAACACCTATGAGTGGGCTGGCTGCCGTCCTTCAGTCTCAATCTGTCCCCAGGACAAGGGAATATGCATGGCGGTATAATCTCCCCAAAGGTGCTTAGGAGGGCAAGAATTAATTTGGGATAGCTCGTTTGCACGTCAGCCATTGGCCTCTTACACAGAACCAAGGCACTTGTTCTGGCCAAGGATATGCACATTTCATACCATTATTACTCAGAAATCACAAGTGACATGTTTTCTGGCTATTTCAGGAAGTATAATAGTGTTTTTACACATTCTCCCCTTTTAAAAATGTATGTTTTTTCAACAGCTCTAATAGCATTTAAAGTACATTAAGTTACATTAATTTGCTGATTGAAGTATAGTTGATTGAAGAATAGTTGATGTTTCAAGTGTACAGCAAAGTGATTCCGTTTTACATCTATATATGTATATATGTGTGTGTGTGTGTGTGTGTATATATATATATATATATATATATATATATATACGCACACCAGAATATATATATATCTTTTTCAGATTCTTTTCCATTATAGGTTATTACAAGATACTGAATATAGTCCCCTATGCTATACAAGAGGTCCTTTTAACTTACATTAATTGTTAAACACCACTTTTTAGGCAGTTTCATTGCATGAGCCTCGTCTTCTCTTCTAGATCCCCTAAATTACAGCTCAGCATTTGACCAATAAAACAAGAACCTCAACTCAGGCCCATTTTGTCCAAACCACGGCACAGTTAGATGTGTAGCTAAAAATAGAGGAAAAAAGCTATTCTAAACAAGAACCTGAGTCTCTGAGACAAAATTTAAAAAATAATTTTATTTATGTCTAAAAATAAGGGAGTAAAACATATGCTCTAGTAGTTACTGCCTGAAGAAAGTCATTTACTGGATCTGTGACAAGGTTAAGTAAAACCTTTCTTACCAATCATTAACGGTGCCCTTAGGTTATACCCGGAAAATATAGGTGCTTCATCAGTGGTCACCCCAAATTATCTAAATAAAATACTCTGTCAGCCTAGTGACAGAGTCACTATATGAAATACAATCTTCTCTGAAACAAGATGTCTGCATTTTATTCTCCTCCATCACTGCACTACAAAGAGTGAGTTCACATTTACAGGTCATTCTTCTGTTGTTTTCTTAACACAAAGTGGGGGTGGGGAGTGACTCCCAAATACTGCTCCCAGGGTTCCCAAAGCCTTTCTGAGATCCCAGTAGGACCTGAACATACCCTTTCTCTGAAGAGCCCACAAGATGAAAGTTTCCAAGTCAACCCTCAAGACAGGAAAGTGACAGAGCTAGAATCTGGCTGTGTCCAGTAAACACTCTGCTTGGGGACATCCACCCCAACTGCCTCTAAGGAAAGAAAGCATCTGATCAGGATGAAGAGAACAAAATCCCATGGGAGGCGGCTAACACATAGAGAGGAGAAGCCTAGGCCAGACCTGGGCGCCAGCCGAACACGGGGACCCAGAAAGGTCTTTGAAGCCATGGGTGGGTTTGGTTTGAAATGCCTCTCCCACATCTTGTCATGCTTGGAAAGAGACCTGGGAACCCATGTTTATCCCACTGAAAGGTGATTCTCTGAGAATGCTTGGGAAAAAGCAGCATCCCTTGGAAACCATCAGAAATGCCCATTTCCAGGCCCACCGCAGACCTATTAAATCAGAAACTCTCAGGGTAGCCCAGAAATATGTGTTTTCACAAGCTCTCCATGAGTTTCTGAGGCAAAGTCAAGTTTGCAAACCACCACCATAGGATTAATTAAAATCACTGTAGTACAGTCCCTCTCCCAAGCCTTATTCATAATTGGAGAATGAGAGGTCTTTCCTCCTTCAAAAGAAATGTCAAGGATCAACAGGCCAAATAGGGAGTCAGGAGAAGGTTTAGGTGTTTTTTTAAGGCTGAATTTACCATGGCTCCTCCTCATTCATTTCAGGTTTGGGAATCTTGGTCATGGGCACCAGCAAAGGCAGAGGAAAAAGCATCAGAAATGGATCTGATTCACCCCAGAGCCCAGTGTACATTGGACAATTTATTGCTACTTAAAGATCACTTTCAAGTAAGCAAGTGACATTAATGGTAATTGTAATGAACCGTACAGATCAAGAAAGCCCACCTGACTGTCTCCCCAACACAATTAAGAAAGACACCACTAAACCTTCCTCACAGATTTCCCAAGCGAGTGGCTACTTATAAGAGACCATGCAGAATTTAACGATAACATATGAGTCAATACATACGCTTAAATTTCAGAGCAAATGTTTTTTAATCACTGAAACTCTTGGCTACTTATATCACAAGAACATTTAAATACGTTTCCCCCGTCCCCCAAAATGAATTTTCAATCCTCTAAAAGAGACCAATGGTCTACTGAGAGGCAACAGAGATCCTAATTTTTAATCGAGCACTAGGAACTTTTCCACTAAAATAAAAAGCCACTCATTCACAAAGCATCAATGTACCTCCAACGGCTGTTCTTATTTTGCTTCCCAACACTTTAAATTTCAAAAGATGAGAATCTGAAAAAGCAGCAGCAACACAAAAAGCACACCATGGAAATTCTAGAAGTCAAATGTACAACAGAAAGGACCTTTCTACACAAAATACATGTGTCCATAACTAGCCTACTGCCGCCCAGCCTGGCCTGCCTTTCTGAAACAAAAGTAAAACTCGGGTACTATTTTTTTATATCATTATTAGGCACTTGAAACTCAAGAAACCAGTTCTGTGTCTTCTGGGATAACTGTCCTCATTGGAAAATGAGTAGTGCTGAATAATCAACATGATTTTGCTCTGTCTTGATTTGTAGTATCATAGCCTTGTTCCTATTTTTTCAGCCTTCACCCCTAGTCATCGTAAATCTAGCTGCTTCCTTCTTTAGTGGTAATTAGCATTAGTCAGAAGCCAAAAATGATTCCACATAAGAAGTAAAATAAACACAACCCTTCTTACCTTTCATGCCAAACTTGGAGTGTCTTGCCAACTTCAGCAGAAACAGCATTACCAGCAGACAAAATCCTACTACAGATGCAATTACCACCACAGCATAGACCTAGAGAAGGGAAGGGAGGGCAGTTATGATCTTGATAATTAGTTTCTTATACCCAGGTGGTGCTGATTTTGATGGAGATGGTTAATATTTATTGAATACTTACTACCTGCTTTTCTAAGAGCTTTATGGATATCAATTAATCTTTAACAACCCTAGGAAGATTTATGCAGGTCCTATTATTATCCCTATCTCTACAAATGAGAAAAGGTAAGTTAAAGCTTATAAAAATGGGGACCCAACTGATATTATACAGATTAACATATACTAATACATCCTATATTATTATATAATGTATAGATAATAGATATTTTATCTCTCCCCATCCATCTATCTACCTATGTACCTACCTACCTATCTGGAGAGAGAAGTGAGAGAGAGAGAGTATATAAAACATGAATGACAAAATACTAATAATTTTTGAAGCTGCTGAAAGATACAATGGGGTTCATTCATGATTTTCTCTACCACTGTACATGTTTGAAAACTGTCCACGATAAAAAAAATTTTTTTAAGTTGACTACTGTTGCTCTTAGAAGTCAGGGTGCCCTAGAGCAGTGAGTAGGTCTGCAAGGGAGCAGGAAGGCACTTGTGGGTGAGCACAGCCTGTGAAAGCTCATGAGGCTGTAGACTTATGACATGTGAACTTTTCTGTATGTATGAGAAAGATCAATACAAAGTTGTTTTTTTAACTTAAAGGTGTAGCTGCAAGTTGTGAATCATACAAGTAGAGAGAGTAGATGCAGATCTTTGTGAATCCTGTCACAGCCCCAAGCTGGGGATCACAGAGGCACAAGTGCATAATGCTAAGTACACACTAACAATTTAGAAACAGAGATCGACACAGGACTATGCATCATCTTCCATTTTTGCTGTTTACCCCAAAGTCCCGCTTCCAAAATAAATTTGTTTCTATAAACCAGGAGTTGGCAAACTTTTCCTGTAAAGGGTCATATATTAAATATTTTAGGCTCTGGGGGCCTACAGTCTGTGTTGCAACTAGACAACTCCCCTGCTGTAGTGTGAAAACAGCCACAGACAATATTGCAAACAAATGGGCGTGTCTGTGTTCCAATAAAACTTTATTTACCACAACAGATGGATAGCTGGATTTGGATATAGTTTGCCTAAACTGTCCTAGATGTCCATACTGACTTAAATGTCTAAGTTTCATTTAATCCACATAACAGTCCATATGACATATTATTATTGTCCCCATCTGTGGTAATCATTAGTGCTGTTTCCCAAACATTTCTGCTTTCCCCTATGTTTCTCTTTGTAGGATTCACTTCCTGGCTTCCTTGTGGTGAGATGGGTTCAGGTGACTAGTTCTGGCCAATGAGTTGAGACTTGTATCACTGCCAGGAGGAGGATTTCACTGCTTACTGCAAGATCTTAGACTAAAGCAGTGGTTCTCAACCAAGGATAATGTTGCACCCAAGGGACATTTGGCAATTTGGAGTTGTCACAACTGGGAGAAAGGTGCTACTAGCATCTAGTGGGTCAAGGCCAGGGATGCTGCTAAAGATCCTGCAGTGCCCAGGAGAGCCCCCCACAAAAAAAATTATTCATCAATAATAGTAGTGTTAACAGTGCAAGGGTAGTGCTCTCTTCCTCTGTGCCATAATAAATGCTAACTTTTCAAAAGGCGGCTGCCTTGTCAGCCTCATCTTGGAATGAGGATGATGCTGATAGAGCTCCCAGCCAATACGTGTAATGAAACAATAAATAAACGTTTGTTGTTTTAAGCCACTGACATTTGGGGGTTTTTGTTACTGCAGCATAGCTTATCCTGACTGATACACCCAGCTCATAGTGAGAGACAGTGTCAAGTGGAGATTAAGAATATGGATTGTTCCTGAGTTTGAAATTTAGATTTGCCACTTACTAACTACATGGTTTCCAAATTACTTAACCTCTCAGCATCTCATAAACCTCATGTATAAAATAGAAAATATAATAACACTACCTTGCAGGTTGTTATAAATCCTCAATTAGTCAATGCAGATAATGGGCTTGACATAGTGCTTACTGTAATAAGTAATTAATTATGTTGGCTATGATGATGATGATAAAACTGAGATTTATAAAATAAATAAATAAATAAGCAGCCCAAGATCATACCTCTCAAACTTGGGATTGGAATCAAAGTCTGCCCAAGTATAAAACCTGTGATTTATGTGTGATTTACCCACTACATTGCCTTCTCCAAAGCATGTGGCTGAGAGCGAAGGCAGGATAATAAAAACATATGGCTAATCCCTCCACAGCACCTTCAGATGGGGTCAGATGGGGACAGCATTAAATAAGCTACAAAGCACAGAAAAGAGCACATGCCAAACAGTTGGCTAGGATGGAGCAAAGGCGTAATCATTCTCTCCTCTGGTGCTTCAGCTGTGAGTGGCTGTCCCACAGAACGCTTCTGCAGATGTCTGAGTACAAACTTAACTCTGTCTCTGTGGCCTATATATAAATAGAGTGGTAGTGATTCCTAAAAGCCTAGTTATAAATCAACTTGTTCTAACCAAGATCATTTCCCTCCAACTTACCTACTGATTTCGGATGTTTCTTTCTCAATCTTTATTTCTAACTAACATTTGCAAGGGAAAGAGATCATAATATTTTAGCTATAAGTTTCTCTACCCTATTATTAAATTCCAAAATCCTACAGATGAAAGAAGAATTCATTAATAAATGAGTTCAAACACTATTTTATAGATAAGGAACCTGGGACAGAGAGACATTTGGAGGACTTGCCCTGAGTCCCAGGATCACTCTGCAGAACCACAGTCTTACCCACTTTGGAAAGTACTCAACTGGCATTCAAGAGACCTATGTCCTAATGAACCCAGGATACCTTGCCTTTACCAGCTGTGAGACCTCACAGGTGCTTCACTTCTCCCAGCCTCTGTTTCCTCGCTTGTACGTGGGGATAATAATACCTGCCCTGCATTATCTACTTCATTAAAGAATATTTAAGTCATCTTAGAAAATGGAAAGGTGTTCTTCTCCAGAAACGCAGCTGATGATCTGCTAACAAATATTTAAACCTATTGAAGCAGTTCTAAATGTAAAGAATCCTTTAATAAACAAAAACTCCTGTGACAATGAGAAGAATTATTTCCTCAAAAACAAGTTATTTGATAAATACAGAGTTTCATGTACTCTGTGCATGTGTGCTGGGGTGGGGGTGGTCTTCACATGGGAGAAAAGCAGGAGTGAGTTTGTTTGTTTGTTTGGTTGGTTGGTTAGTTGGTTTTTATCTGAGGCTACCTCTCAGCACAGAACAAAGAACTGCTCTCCTCTGAAAATCCAGCAGGGTTCATGAGGAGCATCTGCTAGACCAGAAAGGTGAATGCTTAAGGCTGTCTTGCAAATGCTCTGAAAACACCTTTGAATTTTGTATCAGCTCCCTGACTCTGAAACTCTTGCTAATCTAATGATCTTTCCTGTGATCAGGGACTGTTATGTATCAAATATTTGATCCACACATAATTTAAAAATTTTCTTTAAATTCTACAAAACATTGCCTTGTATCTCTCATGCAGATTTCTAAGAGCCACAGGTGAAGTCGAAACATACAGACTTTCAATGAAGATTATTTTCACTCATCTTGCCTTCCAAAGACAGTACTATAGATAGTTCAAACATCAAGATATGCCAATTGGGGGCTTAAATTTATCATTTGGGTTCAAAAGAGAAAACTGAAGTTGGTATATAATTTTTAGTAATTGGAATACATACACATCTGTGGGCTTAACACATGTTCCTTGGATTCCTTACATATGCAAACAACGTTCTCAAACCAAGAAACATTAAATGGTTTGGTATGAGAGTAAAAACTGAAATAAATGCATAAGGCAGGAATTAGAAAACATTCTTCAGTTGATTTAACACAACAGTTTTCCTTGTTATTTCAATGCAATGCATAAAGTCATCTGTGGAAATGTGTGTGTGTGTGTGTGTGTGTGTGTGTGTGTGGTGTGTGTCTCCAAATACTGGATGTGCATATTTTGAGTTGCAGTTAAGTTGTATCTATTTATGAGCCTCCTGGTCCCACTGCATGGCCCTGGTTTAAATATCCATCACATCTCTTTATCATTGCACCAGACACCTAAATCATCATCACCCCACTTCTAATCCCTCTCTTCTGCAACCCATTCTATAGCGTTCATCATTAGTCTAATCACCTCCTAGGTGCCAGGCACTATTCTAAGGACTAGGGATACAGCCATGAAAAACACTGAGTTGCCTATACTAAGAATCTTACTAAAGAATCAGGGAAGGGAAAAAGATATTGAACATGTAAACAAATAAATAATCAAGGTAATTACACACAATAATAACTGCTCAGAAGAAAATGAAACAGGGTAATGGCTGCTGCTGGTCACTCTAGCTAAAGCTATGTGATGACCACTGGGAAGTGCATACCTTCTAGAGGGAACGGCAAATGTGAAGGCTGTGAGACAAGAGTAAGCCTGGAACATGCAAGAGAGTATTTTAAAAAGATAGTTGGTAAACAGTGAAGAGAGTATGGAGATGAAGTCAGAGAGACAGACAAGGTCAAGATATGTAGGGCCCTGTTAACCACCATGAGGAGTTGGTTTCTGTAACAAAAGTTTTATTACAATGCATTGGGAAGACTCTGAGAATGATAACAAAAGAGTGATCACTCAAGGAAGAAGGCTCAAGGGTGGTGTAAGAAGATCCTAAACTCATCTCCTACCATGGACACAGCAAATCTTTCAACTAAATATGAAATAATTCCCTCAGAAAGGGACCTGAAAACTAGATGAACAAAGCCTCCACTTGTGCCATCACAAGTATAAAATGGGGGAATGGGGAGTAAAAAAGATAAAGCTTTGGAATGTGTTCAAATTTAAGTTGCTACCAACTTAAAATAGGCTACTACTTACATAGGATGTTATATGTGAACCTCATAGTAACCACAAGGGAAAAACTTATAGTAAATCCAGGAAAAAAATAAGGGAATCTAAACATAA